AAGTAATGAAAATGTTTTGGAACTATTTGGTTGTACAACATCATGAATGTACTAAATACCACTGCGTGTTATACTTTAGAATAGTCAAGTCCATGTTGGGTGAATTTTGCCTCAAATTTTAAAACACCTCAACAGTGCTGAGGTTGAGAAACCAGTCAAGACTTACAGATGAAATGTAATATTTAAAAAAGTAAAAGGCAGAAAGGACTACATCAAAGTTATGTCATTATAAAGAATTTTAAAAAGTAGACTGACCCTGAAATAACCCATTTTTTTTTCTGGTAGGAAAGACTTGCCAGGAAAAAATAATGGCAGCTGTCAGCCCCAAACAGATTTGTATTACTATTATAAAATTATGAAGAGTTTACGATAAATTGGTGACATCATCTAAACTACAGAGACATGAAAATGTCACCATAATAAAGACTCTCAGATCTAATAGAGGCCAGAAAATGAAATAATTAATTGGCTTTAAATGTATGCCTTCACTTGAACTATAAACCAGGGAGCTGCCAAATGAAATTAGGTACTACATTATGAGCTTGTCACTTTACACGGCTTGTCAGTTTGAAGATTCATTCCCTGTTTGAAAATATGGAGCTGTATGCTCAGAGTTAAAGTTTAGAATTGGCCTCAACTGTGCAGAAGTTCAGCAGTGAATCAAAGAACTCAGATTTACTCTGGTGGCTGTAAACCATCTTTCCTTTCAGTAAGTCTTAAGTTGGGGACATGGTTGGCTTTTTTGGGCCAAAGGAATCAAGCACACCCATAGATTTCAAAGAATCATGCTGGTCTGTTTTAATAAGAAACAAAAAAAAAAAATTGACAGCATTCTACTGATGACAGCATAACTATATAATTATACCTGAACATCATTTACCATTAACTATAGAAAATAAAGATAGAAAATAACTTTTCAGATTTAGATTTTATAGACCTAAGATTTTCTTCTAAACTTTGAACTCTTTTAATGACCTGACCATTTAAGTTATCTCTGAGGACTAAATATTGGAAGAGAAGAACCAGAAAAAAATGCTAAAATATTTTCACATTGTTATTCTAATTATCCTCCACAAACAAGTCTTATCTGCTTTCAATCATTAAGCTACTCCAGACATATTGTTTTCTATAAAACAACGTAAATTAATTCATGTCTATTATTCCTATTTTGTAAAGGCTGGGTAGGAGCATCTGTGGCTGCTATTATTGAAATAGCATGATGATTTTTTTCCCCAGAAACTTGTTCTTAAAATGAAAACAGTGAAATTAGCTATAGGTAATTAATACATACTACAAATCACTGCTATAGCACTTGGAAGATGCAGTGTGTTCCAAGATAGAAAAATTAATGTGAAAAGGCACATACATTTTTAAAAATCAGACTCTACTTAAACATTCTAATAAAAGCAACAATCCTAGATTTTGTTTGTTTGTTTGTTTATTTTGGGGTACTTGGGATTGAACTCAGGGGCACTCAACCACTGAGCCACATCCCCAGCCCTATTTTGTATTTTGAGATAGGGTCTCACTGAGTTGTTTAGCGCCTCACCATTGCTGAGGCTGGCTTTGAACTCGTGATCCTGCCTCAGCCTCCCAAGCTGCTGGGATTGATTATAGGCATGTGCCACTATGCCTGGTCAGACTTTATTTATTTAAAAAATTGGGGGTAAGAAAGCACCCAAAAGTTGCATTCTGGGTCAAGACAATATTTACTGGGAGTATTGAGCCTTTTATCATTTTGTCATGAATAAACTACTTGCTCAGGGGAGGAATGGAAAGGGAGAATTAAGCTTTAAGTAAGTTCCACTTGAAGATGATTAAAAAATAATATACATACTATTTTGTGAGTCTATACATTTGTGAAATCCTCACATTCCTTTCTTTGTGAAAATGATAATTCTGTTAGAATTTAATATGTAATTTTATTTATACATATCATTCTTTGTTGAATCAGCATCTTACCTTGTCTTAAATTATTCTGATGTTCCATGATGTATTATATTATTTGTGCCAAGAAAAGGCATAAAGAAAATAAAAGGCATAAAGATGAAAAACTCATCATTCAAAAAGAGTGACTTTCACACAGGCTAGGTAAACATTGTAAGGTAAGCCCCTTACTTTAGGCACCTTCCTTTGTGGGTTATGCAGAGGAATGTTTCCAAATTAAATTATCTTGATATCTGGTATGATCAGCCAGCTAGTGCTGCTGCTTTTTGAATGATTACAAACAAAGACTGTTACTGCTCAGAAAATGTTTGTATTTGTCATACCCCACTATCTAACACATATGTGTTTTAGCTGTTATGATAAATGCAGATAGACACTAAGCTCTCTCCTTTTGCCTATCTTTCCTGTCTCCCAAAATATATGAACATCATTGTAGATCTTAGAAGATAATTTCTTCCATACTTTTGACAGCAATAGAGGACTCCTAGGTTTTTAATCAATTTTATACATTACTGATGTTTAGGATATTCAGAACATGGTTTATTTAAGGAAAAAACTGTAACATAAGATGACCTACTTTTGCATTTTAGCTATTTACAGGCTGTAGACTATAAGATCTTCTGTTATTAAACTCAGTTTTATACTATATAAATGGAGATTATTCTCCTCATTTTATATTATAGGGTTACCTCATAACTCTAGTAGGATAATGTAGAGGAAATATTTATGAATTATGAAACGTTCTACAGATACTTGTTAATATCAAAATAATTATAAATCAGAGTCCCAAATACTAAGCGATGGCTAATACTTCATATATAGTAAATAGGATTTCAGCGCCACACATAGTAGACACTGGTGGCTTAATAATAACTTAAAAACACAACTCTGTTCTTACCTGTTCCCTTTTTTTAAAACTTAAGACTGTTTATAATCTTTTTCATCACATAATGAAAAAATTCTAACACATTTGTAAATAATTTTTATCCTTATTAAATAATACTAAAATAAATTCACCTCAATCTTAATTTCTCACCTACACTGTACAGTTGGCCTGATGTGTTCTTTGTTTTCATGGATCCTTAATTTATTTAACAAGGCTGGTGCCATATCTCTGTGATATTTCCCTCGGTGTCCCTTTGTATGACACATTGAGCTATGTTTGTGAGAATCTTTGCCAAATCCAGTAAAAACTTCATTGTATAGAACCAGAAAAGAGAAAAATGAGCACACAGTAGCATCTTTTTCCCCTACTCACAGTGTCAGCAATTAACAAATGTAATCAGGCTAACTAAGCAAAGTTGGGAGAATAAAGGATAGCGTCTCTTTGACACTCAGGATATTAAAGATGCTTTTAAAGTTGTCAACACTAGGAGTCAAAATGCTGCTATCACAAGCTTCCATGTTTGTAAAAGCAGCATTATGTGAAGCACTTCCCTTATCTCATCTCCAGGTTGGAACATGCCCATCTTTGCAGATTACATTATCCTGCCCTGTTCTTTAGCAGGAACTTTATTAATTGCCTGCCCATTCGAACAAATATTTGCTGAGATATCTTTTAAGGTAAAGATCTAATTATCCCTTTGCTAGCAACTGATGATTAGTCTGAAAAGAAAAGAGGAAACAAGAAAGAATGGGTTGCTTGTCTCAGTGTGGGCTCTCTTCTCCATATGGCTATGGTGGCATGTAACAATCAGAACATTTTCCACATTTACTTGAAGGTTTTGGGATTGGGTAAGGACCAAGCTACAATGAAATACTCTGGAAGCTTCTATTGACGGCCGACTTTGTGGCAGAGCAGGGTCTGGATTAGTTCTAGAAATTTGCCTAGGTGATTCCAGTTTTTTTTTTATTTATTTTTAAAATTTCTAAGTCTTCAGAGATTGGCATCTTTTGTGAAGGTCTGGAAAGAACCAGAATCGATAGGACAAATCAATTTCCAAGAGAAGCTCTGGAGAAAACAGGAGCAAAAGCTGATTTGTCAGGGTTCAAGAAGATTTTTTTCCATGACCGGTCCATCATTTGGGGGCTGCTTACCAAGACACATATGTAGATGAAGCAAATGAGGCACAGTATAAGGAGGAACTCTCAGTTACCTACACAACCCTTGCCCCAGCCTGCCGCCTACAGAAGCATCTGATCAAATAACTTCATTTTGTCTGTTTAAAGAACCAGTAAAGACACACTTATTCAATAAGGACAGCAATGAGCCAATATTCCATTATACTTTAGAGTTCTCAAAATACATGTATTATCACATTATGCCAACCACAACTTCCTGAGGCTAGACGTACAGAATGCATTAATCCCACCTCAGAGATGAACAAACAATTTTAGGGAGGCTTTGAGATCTGATGGAGGTAGTAGATATAGAACTCAAATTCAGGCCTTCTGATTGCATCCAATACTTTTCTCACTATGCTACATCACACAAAGTCTTCTTCTGGGGTCCTTTATAGCACTCTGATTTTATTATCTTCACTGGTTAGAATTATTTATGAAGTCACTGTGGTAGCTGGTTAATATTTTCAATGAAATAACCTTAGATTTATCTTTTGCCTACTTCCCGTAGCCTTATGAGAAAGCAAAAACAAGCACAAAGAATTGATCTAACATTTCTTAATGCTGGGCCTTAAGATCTTAAGTGAAACCAAACTGTTTACAAATCAACCTCACAGATGAATCATTTTACTATTGTCATTGGTTGCATAAGAGAAACTTTTTTAGTTGTTTCTATTACTGTTAACAAAGCTTAGAAAACATTGAAAGCATAATGGGTAGCCTTGCTAAGAAGTGGGGAAAAGCTGGGTTTAAGCTGTCTTTCCCTTTACTGGTAGATCTCCACAAAAAAGCAGAATAAAAGACCAGTAGGCAACACGTGATATGTTGGTCTTTCTCTGCACAGCCCTGCTTCCGACAAAAACTTTCTAACACTAACAGGAAATACAATTTAGGTACACACAAACATACTTTGAGTTGCAAATGAAATTTCCTGGCTACAATGGATTAGTATAGAGAGATTTTAAATTACTTTAAAAGAATGAGAAACTTACCCCTCCCCATATTTTTTCGTGGCCTCTGGCAGGTCCTGGATGATGAAGGTTCTCTGCACAAAACAGAGCACATACACAGTGAGATTCACAGAGGCTGAGTCACTACATCAGATAAGCTCCATTATAGCTGATGTGGTCAATGTGAGCATTTCATTTCGGTGCATTCCAATCTTGCTCCCTTAGAAAAATGTTTCTTCTATCATAGATATCTAACCTCAGAGGACAAAACACAGTATTGTGGAAAGCACAGGCTCTGTATCAACTTACTATGAGCTTCTTTATCTGGTATTAGTTTATGTCCTTGCCAAATAAAAATCAAACTGGTCACACACTTTCTCTTAGGAAGGCAGTGATATCAACAAAAACTGGTGAACAAAAATGCCAAAAGGCCCAGTGTTAATAACCAGTCTAGCATGTTATTAGCTTGCTTGTCCCTGGCTTCCCTTCAATATCATTCCGTGACAAATCCAATACCCTTTACAGTTGAACATTTTCCTGAATGGTATCAAATAGCAGCACCCCTAATCAAATTATCCCTGAGGCAAAGCAGCCCACAGAATGATTCCCAATAGACAGTATGAATCAAGGACCATGAACTATTGACAACAGGAACTTTGGAGAAACAACCACAGCCCCCCAGCGCATGCGCATACATGGACATCGCAGTTGTAAGAGGGGAAGGTATGTATAGGAGAGCAACATTTCTGTTTTTAAAAAAATCAAAAACATATACATACACAAAAACCAATTCATACCATAATGCTTAATTTTCTTACAAGTTTCAATCACAGAGCTACCATATATTTACTAGAGGTGTTCACTTGTTATGTCCCCAATACCTGAGAGGTAAAGCTGTAAGACATAATCTATCAGTCCATTAGGAAATTTATAAGTTAAGCAGGAACAATCAAGGATTAATACTAGACTGCAATCTGATAACTAGCCATGTAACACTGGATAAATCATTTACTATTTCAAATTCTTTGCAAAAGGAGGGTGCTGAACTATATGGGTATTTCCCAAATTATATGCCACACGATGTTAAAAGGTATTACTCAAAACCAAGGCTTTCTGATCAAGTAAATGTAAGCTACACAGGTTTCTTTATTATAAGATTTTTCAGAGACTTTAAAATGAGCAATATGGCAAAAGTACAGTCTCAACCTATTTAGCTACACAGTGGTTTTTGTAAACAATGAGCAGTTCTTAAGAGTTCTAATTTGAAGGTCATTTTGGAAAACAGGATAAGATAACTGCTAACATCTTTTGTAACTCTGAAATGCTACTATTTTCTAACATGATACTAATTATATGGAACAATATTAACAAAGTGTATCAAAAAAGAAGGGAGCTGGAAAAAGATAAAGGAAAAAAAAAAGACGGGATCTGGATTCTCAGAGAATTGTGGAGCTGAAAAGAATTTGAGAGACCATCTAATGTCTTTTCACTACTCCACCATTTTTGAAAGCATCAGACAGCCCTCAAAAAATCTTATGTAGAGCCAGGCATGGTGGCACACACTTGTAATACCAGCGACTTGGAAGGCTGAGGCAGGAGGATTGCAAGTTTAAGGCCAGCCTCAGCAACTTGGCGAGGCCCTAAGGAACTTAGAGAGACCTTGTCTCAAATAAAAAATAAAAATGGCTGAGGATGTGTAGCTCAGTGGTAAAGCATCCTGTGTTCGATCCACAGTACCAAAAAAAGAAAAAAAAAACTTTTGTAGAATACCAATTTATAAAATATAGAACTCTTCAAAGGGCTGTAATCTTACCTGCTGGGACTTTTCCTTGAGGCACCCTGAATATACAGTTATCAGAAATTCAGCACTATAGGAGTGTAGAGTCCAGTGACTCCTGACCCTTCTGAGGAAGCTATTCTAGGAAGGCTTTAGAAAAGAGCTGGAATTTTTACATATAGTCACAGGAAGGTCCTTACCCTTCTCAAATAGACCTCAATTTTAACTATAAACCCTTCCCAAGCTGATAAATGAAATAATCATTATGTAAACAGAATTATAAAACATTTCTTACTCCAGAAATAACTATAAGAAATTCAACATGCTAAAGTGTAACCCATGTACAAATGAGAGGCCATGAAATAATTGAGCAGGGGAATGATATGGCTAAATTTGGATTTTAGGAAGATATCTCTGACAATACAAGGGAAAAGAGATTTGAGGGGTGAGGGTGGTTTGACCAGGGACAGTAATATCAGATAACGATCAATCAATTTGGCAGGACTTTTTATATTTTATTTCTTGTTTATTCTTTAATATTTAATAAAGTCTTTTTGAAAAGAATCAAGCTTATTTCAACAGTGTTGGGGAAACCACAAAGGAAAGGGTTATCAGATACAGTCCAAGATTTTCAAAGAGGAATTGCCTCTCCAGAGGTCAACATGGAGGACCCAAGATGGGAGCCAGCCATCTTCTAGGGGAAGAATATAATCAAGGATGCAAAAGTGAATGCCCCCTGTCAGCCATCTCACCTAGCCTTCTAGATTAGACTTTTGTTTTAAAGAAGATGATTTCCTTACAGAGAAACAGGGTTCGTGGCCTACTGCCCATATCACCCCAAACCCCAAATTCTCCCATACCCAGGTTATTTCTTTGCTACTTCTTCTGTTGCCAATAGTTAGCTTGTTCTTTCTACTCTGATCTCTTGCTGCTCTAGTTTCTTCTTTCAGTTGGCAAGTGTGTGTGTGTGTGTGTGTGTGTGTGTGTGTGTGTGTATCTGTGTTGTATGTGTGGCACTTTAGTTTTTATATTTCTGTCAGCAGGAATATTAATCTATCTTAATTCTCCCTCAGGTCACCACCCCAAACTAAACATTACTTCTATAATAATGACAACATACTTAACAACAACAACAACAAAGCAGCTTTTGGCCAGACATTAAGACATCTAAATAATGGTTCAATGGATTTACCCAGCCTAGCACTAAATATCCTCTCAACCAGATTCCATTTTCCTTAATAGTAATACTACACCCCAGTGAAAACAGCCTCTACTGCTCCTTTAAACATGCTTTGATCTGTTCCAACTGCATGTCTCTGATCATTTCTTCTGTATCATCTGCATTATCCTACAAAAGTTCTATTCAACTTTCAACATCAGTAGTGAAGTCTTCCTTCATTATCTGAGCAGGAAGTAATCTCCTTTTCCTTTGAACTCTTATATAATATGGAACTTAGGTCCTACTGCATACAGATGTGCATACCTTATAGGATCTATCAGACTGTCTAATTTTTGGAGAGTAAGCAAATTTTCTTCTACACCTATATCTAGTCTGTGCAGGGCACTGGAACATCCCAGTGAGGATTCTAGTGGCCTATACAAACAGACTTACGGGAAGCTCACATACCAAGAATGTTCAAAACACATCATTTGCCTGTTCCCCTTAGTACAGATCAGTGCTTCAGACTCCAGTTATTCACATGCCACCTTAATCAAATTTATGATTCTTGCTAAATGCTTCTATTATCTACACTTACTTAATGTTATTTCAATTAAGTTACTTCTTTTACTTCAGTATCCACTTTATTCTTGTCTTATTAAAAAGTATGCAAAATCATGGGTTTGACATTATATATTTTTAAATGCATACAATGCTGAAATGTAATGTTCAATAGAATACTTAAGTCAAGTAAGCTAACATCCATAATATAAGAAGTCCAGTGTCACCAAAACTACCAAGGAACTATAAACAGAGTCATGCATCTCAAAATACAGGCTGGGTACTGCAAAGTGGACACTGCTTTAGATGAGGACCTAGACCAACCTTATATCAATGTCCTAGAACCTGCTATCAATTCAGTTCAGCAAATATTAAACACCATTTTATAACACTAAGCAGTTTGAACACTGAATAATTACTATGTAATACTATGCCAGGAAGAGTGTTAGGCTCCTTTACGTACTATTTATTTGGTGAGCTAAAAATTTCCTTAATTGGGGATCCTAACAATAGAACTTATATTTTCCCTAATTTTTTAGAATTGTATCAGTTTTTTTCAGTCTCTCTTAAAAAAATTGGTGCATAATATAAAGAATAGTAGATTTCATTGTGGCTATAGTTTTTGAATTGTATATATTTAAGGTATAACCCGATGGGGTTTTTTTTTTGGGGGGGGGCACTGGGGATTTAACCCACAGGTTCTTTATCTCCAGTTCTTTTTATTTTTTGAGACAGGGTTTCCCTAAATTGCTAAGTCTAGCCTCAAACCTGTGATCCCCCTGCCCTAACCTCCCAAATTGCTAGGATTACAGGTTTGCACCAGCACACCTAGATATAATGTTTTGACATACTTATCTGTTTTTGTGCATGGTGCTGGGGATTGAACTCAAGGCTCATGTGTGCTAAGCAAGTGCTCAACCATTGAAGCATATCCGTAGCCCTTTTAACTTCTTTAAAAAAATTGAAGACAGGGTCTCACTAAATTGCCCATGCTGGCATTGAACTTGCAATACTTCTGCCTCAGTCTCCCTAGTACAGATGTACTGGGAGTACAGATGTGTGCTATCACGCCCATCTTGGTATAATTATCTTGATAGCCATGTACATAGTGAAGAGTTGACCATAGTTAAGCGTGGCTTTTTAAATAATGACTGGCTTTATATATCCCTGATGAAGAATTCCAACATGGCTTTGCCACCACTTGTAACTGGGTTTGAGGTCTGGCATGCCAGTTACTATCTATCTGACCTTGGGCAAGTTATTTAACCTGTTTAAGCCTTGGTTTCTTCAAATATAATGGGGTTATTAATGATAGTTCTCATCTCATAGGCTTTGAGAGAGGATTAAATGAAAATAGCTATAATGATTCTTGATATCATTAAATGGGAACTGTGAAGATGATAACAAAGGTTTGGCACACCCCCAATATCTTTATTCCAATCTGATTCTTATAGTTTAATTTTTAGTTGGTCAATCTGGTTCAATTCATTAAGTGTAACTATGACTACTTAAGACAGAGCACACTGTAAAATAGATTTTATGAGCTGAATTTGAAAAATCAAAATTTGATTTTTCAGTTTTAGTTTTAGCTGCACAAC